GTTTCTGTCTCACAGGGCTGAAAACCACAGACCTTAATAAGAGTTTGTGGGTATATCATGGAGCTTTAAATGGCTTCTGTTGTGCTAGACCGCTTTCCATAAATTATTCCAACTCCATCAGCATCTCAGGGACTCCCCATTCTCTTCTGCTGTGGATTTTCAATCAGTGCAACTATTAGTGTAATCTGAAGAAACTTGGAGGTATCTGCTCTGAAAACAACTGCCAGCACGGGTTTGTACATCAGGAATTCAACAGGGAGAGCAGAACCCAGACCAGCCTTGCAGAAGCCAGCTCTGCAGCTCAGATCATGGCATCCAAATCCCACCTTTCATAAGCCATGCCAAAATTAATAATGCAATTAAAGCCAGGCATTCAGATGGTTGGTAGGAAGTGTCTCGCTCCATGACCTGTTTTTGTGATCTGCCCTTCCTGCTGAACTGAGGTGCAATTCACTTCAGCCACTTCGAGAGCAGTTGGTTTAAACGGGCCCTTCTCAAATACAGTTTCTTCCATTGAAAGGGTTTCAGCTTTAAAAGTTTGTTCCTGATGGGGAAATAACTTTTGGGTTTAATGGTCTGAATTTCTTCAGGGGTTTGTGGTAGATACAGATCCAAAAAGCCTTTGCAGAAAGCCTTTGGTTTTCATTGCTCACAGCAAATATGCCTTAAGTCTGACAAAGATGGGCTGAGTTGTGCCTGTTTTCTCAATGACAGACATGTTTTATTTTTGACTGATGCTCAAAGAGCCTCTTTCAGGCTCAAATTCTATCCTATATTAGCTTCAGCCATAAAAAGCAATGAAACTGCAGAGGGAGGCAAAAGAAGAGTATGGCCTCAAAGTGCATAAATTTAGCATCACCCCAATGCTGTACATAAAAGTGGAAATGGAAATGCTGGGAACCCAAATTCCAGCCAGCCCTCCTTGTGCTGTGGAATGGTTAATTTGGTCTCATCTACTGAGACCTTCTCAAATGGGAATAGATTTTGGCCCAAGGATGGTTTTTCAGGGAGACTGGAAAGACAAAGGGCTGGCTGTGCACTGGATTACCTCTGGGTTTTGTTTTCACTGTGAATCTTGGCCTCATGCTTTGCCCTCCCACTGTTGGTAAATCTGGTGAGCTCTCTAACATTCTTCATTCCCATTCCAGTGCTGTTTGTGAGTTTACCACCTTCCCTGGCATTCACAAACCTGCTAGCCCCTATTGCCTTCAATTCTGGGAATTCAAAAGAAATTCTGTCCTGAAGGGAAGCCAGAACATTTGTTGCTGTTTTCCATTGTTTTGTGATATTTTTGTGCATTTGAATATGATTCTTTGAGCACAGGGGCCTCAGGGAAGGGAGGAGGTTGTGTGCAGGCAGTGAAACATCAGGATGTAAATGTCAGACCGAAGTTTTCTGGTAGCAAAACGGGCTCGTTTAAACAACATACAGCTCCAGCCTGACCTGAGATCCTGCAGAGATGTCTGCATTTAATGTAGCACAGTGTTAACAGGATCATTGTGCACTCACTTGCCAGCAAGAGGCAGCTCCCAGGGAGCTCTGTGAGTGCATCTACAGCTCAGTCATGCCACAGCTGCTGTCTGGCTTTAGATCCCATGGTGGCATCTGGCCTCACACTACCTGATTTCAAGCACGACATTTAACTCTGGTCTCCGGGAAGACCCTGAGGAGGTCTGCCAGCTCCTGCTTGGTGTCTGGAGCGTGGCTGGGTTTGTCCTCCAGCCCCTTCCAGGCTCGGGAGCAGACAAGATGAGATGTTCCCAGCTCCACGGGCAGCAGTTTGTTCTGGGATCTAGAGGGGATGGCACTGGAAGGAATGTGTGAGGAGCAGCCCATGGCATTGTCCTCAGCAAAAATGGGCTCTGGGCTGGAATACCTGCAGGGCTTTGTGCTGCTGGCTTACATCAGTGTGTGTGACTTTCCAGTGGGTAAAAACCCACCCCATTCCTTTGTTCCAGGCCATGAGAAGCTGTGGTGGGGTCCATTCCTGCTCACATTTGGCTTGTGTTTGGTTTGAGGTGGGTGGTGGGGGACAGCCTCTCCCAGCCCTGCTGCTCGCAGCCCTGCTGCCCGAAGGAGGTGGGCATTGCAGAGGGGAGGCTGCCATCCTGCACTGCTCTGCTCTGCTCCCCCTGCATCGCTGGCTCAAGGTCAGCCTCTGGGCAGGAAGAGACACGGGAGATAAACAGAAATAGAAGCCCCTTCTGGTTATTTCTGAAATGCTTCGGGGAGATGCAGTGACAAGGCAGTCTCAGAGGCCACTGTGATGTCTGGTAGGTGCCTAGGAGCTCTCAGCAATGCCCCCTCTGCACACAATTTATCTGCCACCTTCTCATGCCATGGTGACAAGATGACACCAGCCGTAGCAGGGTGTTAACAGGCTCCCTTTTCTTTTTCTCCTTTGATGTTGAAAGTAGCTCTCTTTCTCAGAAGGACCATGAAAGGTTCCCACAGATCTTTGCCCCGAGCACTTACAGTAATGAAAAGCTAACTTCAATGTCACGGGTGTGAAGCATCTTTATTTGGAGCTGTTTAGGGCTGGATTGCCTGTTTGTTTGTGCTCTTGGGAAGGGGGGTGAGACTTGTGCAGGGCATGGTCACAGGGAGATGGGGAGGGGAGCCCAGCCCGGGCAGGGTGTCTGTGCCCATCCCAGCCCGGGCAGGGTGTCTGTGCCAACCTGGGCAGGGCGTCTGTGCCCATCCCATCCTGGGCAGGGCGTCTGTGCCAGCCTGGGCAGGGTGTCTGTGCCCATCCCAGCCCGGGCAGGGTCTCTGTGCCCATCCTGTCTGAGCAGGGTGTCCATGCCCAGCCTGGGCAGGGTGCCCACGCTCAGGAGTGACACGGGCTGAAAGCTGGGCACTAACTGTTGCAGTCTGCAGGGACTGGAGGTGCTAAACCAGAGCTGTGATGAATGAGACAGTGCTGCCCGTGTTTTAATTGCAGTTGCAGCCTCTTCCATCACCAGAGTAAACTCAGCGTTTAGTGGGTCGTGGGATGGAATTGGGAATCGCTGTCTTTATGCGCTTAGGTCATGCATTTCCTTGCTTTCACTTGTGATGTATTGATTCTGGGAGTTCCTTCTGTGGTTTTTCTGTGCTTCTCCCCTGCCTTGATTTGTACCCTGTCAGCACTGAGGGGTTTGCAGGGCTGTGGACTCCCGAGGGCTTTGTTTGCCGTGATGGATTTGGTGCGAGGGGCGAGCTGCTCAGGAGCCCTGGAACTGATGTGGGCAGTGATCCAGAGGTAAATAACAGCCAGCAAGGTGCTTAGCTGGATGTTTGAAAAGAAACAGCCCCAAACCAGCCAGGATTCAAATGTTTATGGCCTTCCTTTCCTTCTCGCTCTGGCCAAAGTGAAGGGATGGGAGCAGTGCTGCAGGAAGGCAGCACCAGGTGCCAGTCCCTGGGAATGGCTGGAGACTGCTGAGAAATGTTTCACCCACACTCTGTGGCCTCTTCCTACCTCCCTCTCTGAGACAGCAGCACTGGAGTTTAATTTCCACCCTCCTTTGACCACTGATCTCTTGTCCTGGGGGATGTCTGCTCCAGCAGCAGTGATGCACCTGCTTAAAATTAGTTTTTTCAAATTAGCATAGGGGAAATGGCACAAAAATTGGCAGCCTCCATGTATTTATTCTTCCAGGTGTGCTAAGGAAATTGCAGCCACTGCTATCGAGTTAGTGCTGGAAGAAAGAGATTTAATCTTTCTTGTTCAGAAGAGTTAAAGGAATCCTTTGGCTTTTTATTCTGAAAACATCTGTGTGGATCTTGTCCTTCAAAGATTTCCTGAGCAATTTCATGCGGGGGCAGAGCTGACAGTGCTGTTTTGCTGCTGTTTGCTTCTCTGTGTGGCAGCAGCTGCTCAGACAAAAACCTCACGCACCTTTTGGGGTTTCTGCCCAGAACTGAGAACTTGCCATGGCACTGAATGCATTTTGTGTATGAGATTTTAAACAAATATAATTAAACTGTCATTTCCTGACACCTCACAGATGAGGCTTGACCCCAATGGACTTCTTACAAGCACATTCAGGAACCAGAAGTTAACAGCACTAGGGACTCCGAGCTCAGAAATTTGGCCAACATTGTGTTTATACCTGTGGGGTAATTCAGTATCGCCCTGAGGTACAAATTTTGGAAAAGAGAGAAAGAATTAAAGAATGCCACACCTGATGAGAGGAATTGAAACAGGTATTTGAAAGTGCATCTCTCTCCATATAAAGTCCCTCTTCTCCACTTGTGGTTAATAACTTCTAGTTTTTATTCTGGTTGTTCTTTTAACAGGCAACCCCAAAAGTATTATGCTAGCACATGAGAACTAGAAAGTACCTCTCAAATAGGAGCCAGTCCACTTTGCCATGTGTCTTTTCCTAATGTTTAATCTCTCATACATGGAAACAGAGCTCCAGAGAAATCAGTTGCTTTAGCAAAAATAAGAATTTTTAAAAATAAGTGGTTTTACTTTCAGAGCTGACAGGACAATTAAACCCCAACAGTATTATAATGTTGTGGACTCAAAAAGATGATGAAAATAAGAGCGAAGATAAGGATTGTCATCTTAGAGTAATCCAGAGAGGGAGGAGAGAAAGGGTAGATTTTGTTTGTGATGAGGCCTGGCAATGACTCTTCACTCCAGCACCCAACTCCTTTCTTTTCAACCAAAATTGGTATTTGCTGCCCCAATACAGCAACTTGCAGGAGAGAGCCGTAGCATGCCCAGGGAAGAGCAGGAGCGAGGAGCCTGCTCCAGAGCACACATACCCTTCAATCTAGGCAGGAATTAAGCTGTAATTGCCCTCAGTTCAATCAGATTCCTGTCTGATGGAATTCCTTGGAAACATGAAAGCCTTAATTGATCCTCTCCTCTCCTTTCCCTGTCCTGCTGTTGGACTCCCGACGAGCGGTGCCATTTCTGTGGGGCAGAATGAGAACACGATGATGGATAAGGACTAGAGCTGGAATTTGCTCTCTGACTGTGAAACCCCTTCTTGTTTCCCCAGGGCCAAGGTGAAGAGGGGGGTGAAGGTGTCCAGCGTGAGGGGCAGCAGCCCGCAGCTGTGGGACGTGAGGGAGAGCGCGGAGCACGCGGGGAGACACGCTCCGGCCGTGCTGTGCCACAGGAGAGCCGCTGCTCCCAACAGGTGGGTCACGCCAGCGCCTCGCTGCTCACCACTCGGGCTCTTTGCAAAGCACTGGGCTGGTTTAATGCATTTTCTATGGTGCCTGGGGCATTGCATGAGGAAAAGCTGTGCCTGTCTTTGTTCTGTACTCGCTGCTCAATCCAGCACACAAACCTTACTCAGTCCTAGTGCTCAAAGGAAGGGAAAACTGACAGGAAATACTGTTGGCACTAATTATTTAGAAGAACTTGTTTTATGTCTTTGAGTTTGATTGTGGCTAGTTTCATTTTTTCAAATTAATTACCTTCATATGGCTGTTTGTAGTGGATTTTTTTTTTTGTTTGATTTATTAATTTTACTTGGGGTTTTCTTGGTGAGTTGGGTCCCTTTCCTCTCTTTGTAGGGTTTTTGTTTTGGTGATTTGTGACTGTATGACAATGATGTTGAGGGTGAGATTTATATGAATTTTTGATCCGCAGAAGGAAATAGATTTTCTGTTTTCCATTCCCATTCTGCAACAGCGACTTGTCTTAAAATGCCTTCATCTGGCAGGGGTATGTTCCTTGTTTAATCACAACTCTTTGTTTAATGAATACATTTTTATATAATGTGCTGCTTCTTGTTCATTGCTTCTGGAGTTGCATTTGCTTTGTAGATGGCGTTGCTGATAGAAAACTTCCCACATTATGTGTGCAATTCACATATGAAATGTTACAAAATCTAATTGGGTTTGGGGATTTATTATGTGGTTTATGGTATTTAAGTAAATACCTTCTGAACCTAATAATTAGGAAGTTTCATCTCCTTGCAATCTGCATGTATGAAAAAAAAGAGGGATGGAAGAACTTTATAATCACTTTCTCTTTATAACAACTCAGATTCTACACAGTTCCTTTGCTAAAGGATGCTGAATTTTCCTTATCTAAAGCAGATACTGTAATATATCTGACTGAATGGCATTGGGCAAAGCAGGAATGTGTGTGTATGCCACGGTGGGAGCAAAGCCTGTCAGATTCCTTAAAACCCGCCTTCAGAGGGGCTGGGAGAAAGGATGATATTTTCATTGACTGAAATGGGCACTGGATCAAAATCAGAGATTATTTCAGCAATGAGTTTTCCATCACACTTTATCTTGTTGGGCCCATAGAGTGCATTTCCCTGATTTCTCTTCCTCAGCAGGAAAATGTAAAGCAGCCTCATGGGGAAATTGAATCTTGGCAACTTAACTTCCCTTCACTATTCATCATCCAGTGGCAATCCTGTAAAATGACCCCTGGTACACAAAAAATAAATTACTATGTCATCTTTCATGCAGTGGTTGTGGATTCTGTGTGCTTGCACATGTTGAGCATAAACATTGCTGGATGTTTATTAAAAGAAATCTGAGGTTGTACACAGATTTTACTGGAAGGAAAACCCAGGGAGGAGAAGGTGTACATGTACCTCTCCTGTAAATCCAGGTTTCATTTGCTCCATCGAGTTCCCAGCTGAGATTTTCTCCTTTTCTCACTTTTGAGAACTTCTTCCTCCCTCTTTGTAAACAAGTGCAAAATATTTGCAGTGCATTACCCAACGTATTGTTTTCCTCATTAACTTTAGTTGCATCTGTTTAGCTCTGCATTTTAAGAAGCAAGATCAAGCATTACATGGGGAATGAGAGTGGAGTGTGCTCTACAGTTTTTCAGAAATAATTTTATCCTTATCAGAAATGTTTGTTGTGTCACCAAATAGCCACACTGGGTCACAGTTAAATATTGATGTCCCTTATCAAATTTTTGGCCTCCGTGGTTCATTTAGAAATTACAGAAACTCTGTTAGCATATTCTTTAATTTCCCCTAAAAAGCAGAGGTCTGATCACATGGATGCAAAGGTGGCAGTGTTAATTACCTGCAGATTCAGTACCTTTGTGTTCCTGATAGTTTTACATGGATCAGAAAATAGTGTTAATAAAGCTAACTCGGTGTGACAAGTGTAATTTCACGGCTTAAGGAGGCACTTGTGCAAGTGACAGAGCAGAGCAGAATGCCAGAGCGCTCCCTGCTCGGGGTTTGAAATATATCCGTCATTTTGTTTGGAGAGGTTCTGGCACCGGCAGCTTATCGTAACAGGATTAACATATAAATATTATCACAGCCAGCAGGGTGTTTTCAGATGAATATTAACAGCAAATATTATGATTCTGTCTGGGAATAACTAATTAAGCCCATCTGTCAAATATGATTTCTCGTGCCTTGCTTATTATGGGCTTGCGACAGTGTTCCAGATTAATGGTGAAGCAATTAGAAAGTTCTCCCCAATTCTTGTGATTTCATTCTCAGGCAGTAATAATTTGGTAACACTCTAAATCCTGACCCAGGAGATGATTAGATGGGTTTAGTGCTTGTAGCATCTGCCCAGCACTGCTGCTGCTCCCCGTGAAGCATCGATCTTCCACCCCTCTCCTCGCAAAGCAGGTGACCAAAGCAGCAAAGAGAAAAGGTTTGGGAATTAAACAGAGATCAGGAACGGGACTGGGGAAACCCTTCAAACACTGACTGAGTCTGGGAGCTGCCCTGGTCTGTGCCAGCCGTTCCTTCTGTGCTGGAGTTGGCTGGTTTTGGTTTTGAGCCCTGGTGCAGGAGGGGAAGAGAGCAGGAGGGGGGATTGGATCGTGCTTTTCCTGGGGGCTCCTTGTTGCTGCTCCTCGCTGTACCCCAAGTGCCAGGGATGGCTGGGAAGGGAGCGGGCAGAGCTGCTCTGGATTCCTGCCCGCTCCTCCCCTGTGAGCGCTGCTGGACTGGCAGTGTGCCGGTGGGATGGGCCTGGCACATCCTTGGGGTGGCTGGAGATGGGCATTTATTGGGGTTTCCTCATCTGCACAGCACCACGGACAGCACTTCCCTCTGCCCACAGCTGCTGTGTGCAGACACGAGGCAGGATGTTCTGATGTGATACTAATGGGTGTCATGATCCTCCTACAATATTCTATTCGTGTTTATATTTTTGGGTAGAAATGTTTGGTTTTCCTATTACTTTACTGTTCTCTGTGCCCGTGGCAGGAATGAAGCCACTGATTCAGGGAAATACAAAATAATTACAGACAAACTTGGCCATCTCTGAGTAGAACCTTAATGACCATTTCCCACCTTATCACCAGAAGTATTTCAGTTATATAATAATGGATAATGAGCTCGGCAGTTTCCTTTCCCCTTTTCTGGAAATCAAGGACCAGCATTTGTTTGGATACTTTTCCTCCTCGGTTCTGTAGCACTGAAGGAGTTGCTGCTTTGTGCTGCCTGAAACCAGATGCTGCTGTCAGAGAAACTGATTTTCAGTTTGAACTACAAGTGACTAAATCAGTTTGTGAGAATGTGAGCACAGTGAGAGACAGTAACAGGATTTTCTAGGCTATATCCTTCATTTATTCCTGCAGGTCTCATTTGTTCATGGTACTGTATTTCAGTGCCTAATTTTCTTAACACTTTTACAGCTGAAGAAATTAACTTGATATTAAATAACAACAGGGGACAGGAAAATGTGTGCCAACATTACCTTTGATTTTCTACACAATATTTTCTTTCTATTGCATTTATGCCATTGTCCTTAGTGCCCTGCTTCTGTCTTTTTCCCATGCAGTTATTAAACATTTTCATGTTGTAAATGCAGTGAGCTATTGCCTCACTCTTGTTGCACGTGCCAGTACACTTGATGGACTCCCAAGAGTGCTGTAGTCCTAAAACACTCCTGAAGCCAACGAGAGCAACAAATTTAACATAAATAACAGCCTAATGGCCACAATAATTACACTCTGTCTCTTGCTGGTGTTCATCAAAATGCTTCATAAAAGTAGTGTAATGTTTTAGATCACCATTAATTTTTCCCTTGCTCCTATGTGCTCTCATGGCTTTGTCACCTAGAAATGTATTATTGCTTGGAAAGAGAAATTTCTGCTCTAAAATAGAGAAAAGGATGTGTGATGTAAAAAAAAAAATCCCCTTGTATTTTGTCACATCACATCCTGTGGGAATCACGTGAACTTCACTTTGTCACAATGAAATAAAAGCAAGAAAGAGATTGCAGAAATCAGACTTTCAGAATGGAATGTACTCAAGAGTGATGTTTTCAGAGCTGGACAGGCCCAGAGGGTGAAGGGCTGGGCTAGGCTGGATATTGGGGATTTTAGTGGCAACCTGATCCATTATTTGTTTATGTGAATTCTAAGCAAAAAAAGATTTCCCCTATTCATGTTATAATCCTGATTTTATTATTGAGGGAAACAGGAGGGAAGGGAGAAAGGTGACACTTTTAATGTGGTTCCAAATTTGCTTTCTGAGAATAATTATTCAGCCCTAAAAATTGTCTGCTCACTCAGCATTGTCGGTGCTGATGTAATACATTAGGATATTTGTTGTTGGGCAGGTAGAATATGTTCAGTTAATTCTCAAACAGCAGAGTTGAGTTCCATTCCTGCTTCTGAGACATGTGGGTAATGATCAGCTGTAATCCTATTTACCCTGGGCACTGCTGGAGTTTCATGCTGCGTGCACTTTGGGGTTTTCTGTCTGTGTTATTAGAAACCTCCAGGCTTCCAGGAGTTTGTCTGTTGTGATCATTGAAAGCACTGAACATCTCAGAAGTCATGTTTACATTCCTCTCTTTGAAGGCAATTAGCCACAAACCTCTATTTCTCATTTGAAAGCTTAAATGTGCCCTCAGAGAGAGAACCCCTTGAGATGTTAAGGCAAAATAAATTTGTCTAAACCAAGCCCCAGTGCATTATTATTTTACACGCTGACCCACTTTTCCCATTTTTTTAAAAACAGAACAGTTTTATTTAGCAAGAAATGCAGAATCTTTCTTGAAATCATTCTACTCAATGCTAATACACTAGAAAAAATGTTTATGGTTATCATCTGGGATCAAATCAAAAGGAAAGAGATCTAAATCCACACACAACAAAGTGTGGGCCAGAAGGTTCAGGGAATTGTGTAACACAGCCTGGCATCCTTCTAAATCACAAAACCAATCCTAAACAAATTCC